TGGTTTGTGCTGCGTAAATGGAAAAGTAAAACTTCCTTTATTGAAAGGTCCTCCTGATGCTTTGCTTAATTTGCATGATAATTCAAATATCAAGAGCCGCCACTATATACGGAATATTCGAGCATACAATATGATATTTTCCTTCACCTCCTTTGGAGCAAAAGTGGACGGATCAGTGAATCAAGCTTCTGGCCCTTATTGTTTTAGAGTTGGGGGACGAGTGCATCATTTAATAGGCAGCCTTATTCCAGCTGACAGTCATACTCCAAAATTTGCTCAGCTATATATATACGATACTGACAATGAAGTTGACAACAGATTGGGTTGTTTAAGGCGCGTTATTTTCTAATCTATTGTCATCTATCAATTACGGTGTATATTTTTTATATATTTTTTACTTATTTTTATGACATTATTCTTGCAGTTCGATAAACAGTGAAGATATGCTTGATCCGAGCAGGTATTTCGTTCGGTTATTCATACGGGGGTCATTTTTAGCTGTTTCTCAACCCTTAAATTTGGTTAAAAATGTTTAAGATGAACTAAATATATAAATATATTATTTTGTAATTAGTTTTAAGAAAATATGCCTTTCATAACGAACATACAAAAAGTAGATGGGCTCATTTATTTTAATTTCTTTTTCTTTTTCTTAGTGGATTTTATTCACTCTTTTGTGTGTTGCATGAGACAAGCAGAAACATATTCCTTTTAACTTCCTTAGTTTGGTATCAGTTCTAAAATTATAACTAAATTTAAGTTCTATATATAAATATATAAAGAAAGGATATATCAGGAAACTTTTAATTCAATATTAAAGAAAATGTTGAAAACAAAACAAAAAATATAGGGAAAAGTGGGAAAAGTATTTCTCTAGTGGAGATAAAGTTATCTTCATTCTTTAGTGAACTTAAAATGACGTTATTTTGGGATTGTAAGATTAAAAAATTATTATGATAAAGATTAATATAACCCTGCAATAAATTAGTACTAGTTGATTACCCGTGCGATGCACGGAGAAAAAAATCGGTTTGTTTGTCCCGTAAACGAATTAATTAGAAAATCGGTTTGTTCGTATGACATAAACGTGTAACTTTTAAGGTAGGAACAAAAAAAGAATATAATAATTTAAACACAGTAAATTCCATGGTTGACAGCAAAATCTCCATTAAAAAAATATAAATGTCATGTTGACAGCAATATAATAAGAAATATGCCCAACCGATACTCACAACAGTTGTAAAATATCGTCCGCCATGCACTATTGGTATTTGCTGCTGTTCGAAATGAATCATAAACAATATATAAACAATATTTGGAAAAGAAAAAATTATTGAAGGGAATTATATAGTTTAGGCAGATGAATAATTCAGAATTACAATGAAAAACCTTTGACTCTGAAAAATGACAAGGGAATAATATACTGATTGTGCCTCGAATACTGAATCTGCATAACAATAAAAAATTAGCAGAAAAATAGGCATAACAACTAAAGGAAATCAACAAAGAAGATTAAAAAATATTTTCTGATAAAAAATTGAGATATTACCTGATACCAAACAACAATGTTATCTCTTTGTAGAAATAACCAAGTATACTACACTAATCTTTGAAATACTTCCTTGTAGACGATGTTAAAGGTAGTATTTGTAACGCAACCATTTTCATCAAGTATCAGCATCTTCAATCCATGTCTGCTCTTTACTCTAGATAGTGCCACATATAATTGCCCATGAGTGAAGACAAACCTAGGAAGATAAATGCCAACATGAGACAGCGACTGTCCTTGACTTTTGTTTATAGTCATCGCAAACGAAACTACCAAGGGGAATTGTCTTCTTTGGAAGTTTACTGGAAATGTATGACCCGATGGGTTGATCGTCATTCTAGGGATTAACACAGTATCTCCTATATTGTTTCCTGTAAGAACAATTGCCTCAACAACATGATTCCCCAACTTTGTAATAAGTAATCTCGTACCGTTGCATAAACCTCTTGATTGATCAATATTTCTCAATGACTTCTATCTTAACGACGTTTGTCATTATGAACACACTATACGTCTTGGGCTATAAGCCATTATTATTGTACACTAGGGCGGTTCATCAACCGATCCAAATCGATTCGAACCGCGGTGACCGAACCGAAAAATCGATAACCGAATAAACCGAAAACCGAAAAAAATCCACAAATTTTAATTGGATTGGATCGGTTTTCGGATTGGTTGATGAAAACCGATCCAATATATTATATCCCCTCTATCTACTTGGGTCTTTCCTCAATCATAGCTCAAAAATTTCTAAACCCAAGACTCATTAACCCATCAACTAAACCCACAAAAAAGCCTAGTCACATCTCATCAACTAAACCCAACACCCCTAGTCACACTAGGGCTGTTCGCAGTCTGGATTGGATCAGTTTTAAAAGCAAAAATCATCCGATCCAATCCCTTCAGTTTGAGCATGTAATAATCCATTCGGTTTGAAATTTTTTCAAATCTGATCCGATCCAATCTAATTTTTTTCGGTTTGGATAGGATCGATTTTCGGTTTTTTGAAAATCCTAAAATTTATTTTATGATTATTGTGCAAATAACATCTTTTGTATATATTGGCTTTGTAAATTTTTTTTAAATACAAAAGCGTCGGTAAACGATAATATAGTTTTTTTTTTAGACAATGAGATATGAAGCTCTGCATAGATGAAATTTTATTAATGAGATGTGACTAGATTTTTTCTTGGGTTTAATTGATGGGTTAATGAGTCTTGGGTTTAGAAATTATTTGATTATGATTGGAGAAAGACCCAAGTAGGTAAAGGAAAATTAATATATTGGATCGGTTTGGATTATATCGGTTTTCATCTACCAATCCGAAAACCGGTCTAATCCAATTAAAATTTGCAATTTTTTTTCGGTTTTCGATTTTTCGGTTTTCGATTTATTCGGTTATCGGTTTTTCGGTTCGGTCACCGCGATTTGAATCGGTTGATGAACAACCCTAGCGAACACCCCTATTGTACACAATGATCTGCTACATGTAGACTACCTCTTATTTATATAGTTTATTTGTGGATAGTGAAATTTTGGACATTTGATGAATTTTGGAGTCCAATACTTGATTCGCCATTGTCGCATTAGGATTAATATATTTTAAGATTCTTTTCAATTAACAGTAAATAATCTTCCTTTAGTTGATGTATCTTTTAATCTCTCCAAATTTATAGACGTTAAATTTATTATTAATAATAATTTAAGTTCATTGAGTGATACCTTGTATGAACTATAATTATTTGAATGAAATAACTATTTGTAAAATATATCTATTTTTATTATTTGATTCTACTTTTTTTTGGGTAATTAATCAACATACTCTGATATTATTATATCTTAAGTTAATTCAAAATGTGACAAACTGTGAAAAGTTTATGTTCGAAGAACCGAAACTTTTGATTACTAAAAGTCTTCAGGTTTAATTATCAAACATTTGATTTTTTTTAACTATTAGAAAAAAAATGAATTATTGTTATTAATAATAACTTGATGTTTTTCAATTTGTATGGATTTCAAAAAAAAAAAATTGCACACATGCACAAATAAAAATCATTTAATATTTGACTGAATATATTTGATGTCAATCTGTAAAATAATAATGGTTGATTGTTTTTTATTATAATTATTAGATACTAATTATTATTTATGATACTAATCGATATTTATTGTCAACAATACTATGATTATTTCCCCTTTTATGAAATATTTATATTATTTAAGTTGAGTGAGTGATATTAGCATAGTCTGTGACAGTTTTTTTTTTTTTTTTGGTAAAGTAGTCTGTAACAGTTTAAATTATAGATTTATTCATTAAATATTACGATTCTTGTGCAATGATTTCCATTTTTTTGGCGATTAATTAATATACTATATATTGTTTTATTTTTAACATATTTAAAATTAGAAAAACCTGGAGAAGTTAATATTTCAAGAAACAAAAATTTTGGTAACTTAAGATTTTCGGATATTAGAAAATATTTAGATTTTTCAAACGAACAGGAAAAAAATGAAAAATCAATTATTATCATTGATAATAAATTTAATAGTTTTGAATTTATAAAGATACAAAAAAATCACTCACATAAATGAGAGTAGTTTAATTTTTGAATCTTAACTTAATAAAATTAATTTGATTTCTATTTAAAAAATAATTTCCTTGCTTAATATTTTATTTATTAAACTTTAATAATTATTTATAATATTAATTATATTTAAGTGAAGAAGGAGAAAAAGAGGCGGTAAGATAGGAAAATTTTTGTGTAGGACGATAATGAAATTGTCAGGTGACAGGTCCTCCTAATCTTAAACGCTGGATTTGGATCAATCATGTGAAAGCTGGTCACGTGGTCATTTTATTTGATCATAATCATTCATTGATGATGAGATAAGAGAGAGAAAAGTATATGATTTCTAAATGAGTGATTATAATCGAATAACATGATCATATAATCACTTTTTCACATGAGAGGATCCAAATCTCTAAACACCAAATTTGAGGGCTGGTGTCAGCGCATTGTGTCAGTCAATTTGATTCAAATTCGCGAACAAAACTTTAGCATCAGATGTATCTAATTAGGTACATTTTTTTTAAAAGGAGAAATTTTTTCAAATTGGTGGGAAAAAAAATTCAAAAGTAGTGAAAGTTTTCCAAATATAAAAAAGAAGAAGATATACACAATCGGATACATCTAATGTACCAAAGATATTATTTTCATTCACCAAAGAAGTAAATAACTTTGAATTTATTTTATTTTTCTTTAATTTCTGACTCTCTGGGCCTTCCACCATTTTTGGGCCTCTCTGATATCCGTAGATTCAGAAATCACGACTCACCTGGTCTCCAAATACGCCATTTAACCTAGCTTTATTCCCTTTATATACCCCTCATTCCTAAGTACATTATTCTCACCTCGTATTCGTTCCTTCTCACATCACTTGGCAAAGTAGACCAAACATGACTACCGCTTCATTCTCTTTGATCTTCTTTCTCTTCTCCTTCCTTCTCACCCCAACCCTCATATTCTCTTCACCTGTTTATGACCCTGAATTTGTGGCCCAAGAGGTAAACAGGTAATAAAAGTCACAACCTTTATGCTTCTCCTCTCTATATACATAAAATGTGCATTATGTAATTGTATACATGATGCTAGTACATTTAGAGAAATGTTTTCCAAATCATATACCAATATTAACGTTTGATCTTATTTCATTTATTTTTGGTGACAGGAATATCACTGCTTCTATGGCTAATGCAGATTTGATGTCCCGCTCTTGTGGGACTGGCAACCCCATTGATGATTGTTGGAGATGTGACCCCAATTGGGCTTACAACAGGAGAAGGCTAGCAGATTGTGCAATCGGTTTCGGCAAGAAAGCCATTGGTGGAAAAAATGGTAAGTTATATATTGTCACCGACTCCGGCGACTATGACGCGGTGAAACCGAAACCGGGGACACTCCGGCATGCAGTGATTCAAGACGAGCCATTGTGGATCATATTCGCAAGAGATATGACTATTAAACTGAAGGTAGAGTTAATCATGAACTCGCATAAGACAATTGATGGAAGAGGCGCGAACGTGCATATAGCTGGTGGTCCATGCATTACTATACAATATGTGACCAATGTTATAATACATGGGATACATATACATGATTGTAAGCCAGGTGGGAATGCTATGGTGCGGGACTCACCAGACCACTACGGGTGGAGAACCGTGTCGGATGGTGATGGTATCTCCATCTTAGGAGGAAGCCACATATGGATTGACCATTGCTCATTCTCTCAATGCACTGATGGTTTGATCGATGCCGTTCTTGCGTCCACTGCAATTACCATTTCCAACAATTACTTTACCAAGCACGACAAGGTTATGCTGTTGGGTCACAGCGACTCATACACTCAAGACAAAAACATGCATGTCACTATAGCTTTCAACCACTTTGCAGAAGGGCTTGTTCAAAGGATGCCAATGTAAAAGTTTTGTTATTTAATTTATATTTATTTTTCCATTATTTCTCCAACTCACTTATAAAGTTGAAATTTTTGTATATTATTTGTGAATGTTTGCAGGTGTAGGTTTGGATATTTTCATGTGGTGAACAATGACTATACCCATTGGCAAATGTATGCTGTTGGTGGAAGTGCTAACCCAACCATCAATAGCCAAGGAAATAGATTTGTTGCATCCAATCACCCATTCACCAAAGAGGTAATCATTACATAAAAATAAAAACTTCCCTTTTTTTTAATTCTGGTTTTATAACTAATTTTTTTTAAATCTATTAAATCATTTTGTAATGAAATATGTAATTATAATATTTGAATTTGCGCAGGTGACAAAGCATCAGGTTGCACCGGAGAGTGAATGGAGGCATTGGAACTGGAGGTCTCAGGATGATTTAATGTTAAACGGCGCGTTTTTCAAATCATCAGGGTCTCAATCTTCTTCGAACTATGCGAGAGCTTCCAGTTTAAGGCCAAGGCCATCTTCTCTTGTGGGTTCGATTACAAGGAGTGCTGGTGCCCTCAAGTGCAGGAGGGGATCACGTTGCTAATTTTTTCGATTTCCAATTTGTTGTATTTTCATTTTAAGATTTCTATTAGGATGTTTTTCATATTCTATTGTAGCTGAATCTTCGTTATATATTTGGGAATGAATGAATATGCACAAAGAAAATTTCTAATTTCTCTTTCTTTTCTTGACTCTCCCCCAATTTTCTCTCCAGAATCCTTTGTTCAATCTCTCCCTTATTCTCTTGTTCTCCGCCTTGATTATCGCTCTCCTCTAATTTTCTTTCCCTTTTAATTTGGTCCGTTACACAAATCAAATGCTATATGGCGGATATGTTCATGATCAGCTTAAAATTGATGGAAGCCTTAAATGGTTAGAAAGTTGAATTCAAATTTTAGATCATTAAAGTATATTTAAAAATATATATAATTATTAAGCCTTTAATGGTTATTAAGTTTTTCAATTGAATTCACGCACAAGTGCAATTAGAATATTGGAGAATAAAAATGTTGTAAAATAGAAGAGCATCTCTCTGTCAATTAAGTTGTAAAAAAGTTGCCCTATAATGTCGTAAAAGAAAATAAATAAAGAATCATTTCAAAAAGCATATATATATATATATATATATATGAGGGGGGATATTTTGACTACCAAAAGTGTCCACTACCACCTTACTACCTATCAAATCACCATTGGATCAAAGAGAGAGAATGTTAAAAAGTTTTTGAAGAGAGACAAAATGTTAATTCAATGGTGATTAGATAGGTAGTAAGGTGGTAGTGGAAACTTTTGGTAGTCAAATTTGTTGAGACATTTTTTTGTTCATATTTAAACCTATTTTAACTCCATCTATCTTTTATTTTCTTGTTGGTATTGTCGTTTAGTTTTCTTGCTATTATTTTTTTTTTATTAATTCCTACTATAATTTATTTATAATATTTTCTATGTTTAATTGTTAAATTATAATAATATATTTAGACAAGATAACATGCATTGTGTGTAAAAATGAAATGCGTAAATTATTATGTATAAGGTTTCGATTATATGTTATAATTTTATATTTTGAAAAAATTTGTAAATCTTCATTCTAAATAAAGTTTTAAAGTTTCTTTTAATCAATTTAATATTTATAAAAGAATAAATAAAGAAACTTACCTTTTGAACAAATGATACATTTTAAATTATTTAATTCAATTTAAATAATTAAAATAGCTTCCGCTATACCTATTCTTTTAATAATAAAAAAAGTTTCTGCCACATCCCCTCTGTCACAGTATTATTTTGGTGGCTGAGAATAACTTTTTTTTTTTTTGGAAATAATAGGAAATTAAAACAAAAACACAACAAAAAGAAACTAGGCACAAAGCCTAGACCAGTGAACACCTATAGTGTCACCATACAGACTATCAATACAACCTGACGGTGGACAATCAAATTCCTGAATTACCCAAGAGAAACCATAAGAGTAAGAGGCTAGAAAGTCCGCTACTATTTCCTTCACGGTGAATGTGAGACATATAAATCTGCCAATCTCGCTGCATCAAATTTCGAATACGATTCACCAAATTAGCCGCAGGGTAATCATGGTGGCACCCATTTGTAATGAGCTGTTGAGCTGAAAGAGAATCTCCTTCGAGCCAAACTTGCCTAAAACCTCTATCCCAAGCTAGCTCCAAACCAACCAAGCAAGCCCATAACTCAGCATGCAAAACTGTACCTGAGCCTAAATTTTTACAGAATCCGACGATCCAAGTTCCTGAGGCATCGCGAAAAACTCCTCCACACCCAGTCCTAGTACCATTAGCATCACATGCACCATCAACATTAAGCTTAACCCAATCCACAGGAGGACAACACCAAGCAACCAATCTCTCTATTCGATTCCTTGGTTGATTGCCCGCTCCAAAAATAGGGTTAGCTGCAAGAGCGACACTATCTCTGAAACCAATTGCTGAACGGATAAGTGAATAAGCATTCTGGCGATCACCTTCAAAAACCCAAGAATTCCTACATTTCCAAATTTTCCAGGCTAAGATTCCAAATAAAAGAGGCCAGTCCGACCCCATCCCCCAATCCTTTGAGCTGTCTAAATTAGAAATGATCCAATTGTGCAGGTTGAGGTTGAAAAATTCACGCTGATTTATATGAGGCATTATCATGCACCATACTTCCTTTGATTGTGGACAGTCGCGAATAGTATGAAGGATAGTTTCACTAGACTGATCACATCTAGGACACAGATCTGAAAGAGCCATATGACGGCGGAGTCTACAAACATTAGTCATCAGCTTCTCCCCTGCCATTAACCAAAGAAAAAAGCGAATTCTTTCTGGCCCCTGCCATCTCCAAACACTTTCCCAAGGAAACTGTTGGATTGTAGTATCTTTGATGGCTAATATTGCATATGCTGACTTAACAGTAAACTTGCCATCTGTCGTTCCATTCCAAATTAAATGATCCTGGCCATCTTGACTAGAAGGAGGAAGAATTCATAAATCGATGCAGCACAGAATCTGGAAGCAATTGTCGAAGAGAATTCCATTTCCATTGCCCCAATTCATCCACGTAGTCCACCACCTTCTGAAGAGTATCACTAATAGAAAACTGAGAACCTGCATATGAGATCAAAGGACCACAATCGGGCAGCCAGCTATCAAGCCAGAACATAGTGGACTGACCATTGCCTAACTGCACCCGACTATGATCCATTATAATATTCCAATGACGCGTAATTCCCTTCCAAAGCTGGGAGCTGCTGTTTGGAGCATGAATAATTGGTGTCATGCCTGCCTCCACATTGTACTTAGCACGTAAGAACTTTGACCACAAGGCATCTGGATGAGCTACGAGGTTGAACCCAACCTTCATGATAAATGCTGAGTTCATTTCCCTCATACTCCGCAGTCCAAGGCCTCCATTTTTTTTATCCATGCAAATCTGCTTCCAGGCCACAAGATGAGAACGTCTAGAGTGTGGAGATGAACCCCAAACAAAATTTCGAATCTTCCTATCAATCTCTTCACAGGTGACTTGCGGTAATGAACAAACCTGCATTGGATATGATGGGATTGCTAATAACACTGCTTTAGATAATGTAACACGACCTGCTAGAGATAGACTGGCATGATTCCAAGCAGCAATTCTAGAATTCATTCGATCCAAAACATAAGAGAAAGATGACCGACCCACTCGCTTATGATGCAAAGGAATTCCCAAGTATCTTCCAAGATCCGCAGTCAAAGAAAAACCAAGAAGCCCACTAAGATGGTTTGCTTGAGTATGACCCACATTCTGAGAAAAGAAAACTCTAGTCTTACTATGATTGACTTTTTGACCAGATGAATCACAAAATATATGTAAGGCCTGTTGAATTATTAACACTTGCTCCTGAGAAGCTTCTGCAAACAAAAGGAGATCGTCAGCAAAAAATAAGTGAGAAATTTGTGGAGCTCCCCTTTTAATCCTCACTGGCTTCCACCTCCTGTGATCGCCTGAGAAATGAGATGGGCTAGTCTTTCCATGCAGAGGACAAAAAGATAAGGAGAAAGAGGATCTCCTGGTCTTAAGCCTCTAGTTGGCCGAAATTCTTTAGTACAAGCCCCATTCCAAAGAACATTCATAGTGCAAGATGAAACACACAACATAATTAGTCTTATCAAATTTTCAGGAAGCCCTACATCATATAGGGTATCCTGAAGGAAATTCCAACTAATCCTATCGTATGCTTTCTCAAGATCAACCTTGATCGCCATCCAACCTTTAGATCCTCTCTTTTTCCTCATTGAATGGATTAGCTCTTGAGCAATTATGACATTATCCGTACCTTGTCTACCTCTGATAAAACTGCACTGATTAGGCATCACCAGCTTGTCCATCTGCAATTTTAAACGGTTAGCAACAATTTTTGTTACCGTTTTATAAATAACATTACACAAGCTAATCGGACGAAAATCCTTGAAAGTATGAGGATTCTCAAGTTTAGGAATCAAGCAAAGAAGAGTCTGATTCACTTCTTCTATACGACTAGGATCATTGAAGACTCTCTTAATGAAATTACACCAGGAGCTCTCCACTGCATCCCACTGGCTTTGAAAAAATATGCTATGAAGACCATCAACACCAGGCGCTTTAAAAGGCCCCATTTGGCTGAGAATAACTAAACATTTACTTGCATACTTATATTATTAGGTTTTTATATATTTGTGCTTTAAATAATGGATTTCTTTTTTCGAGATAGTATCTCTCATACAATATACATAACAAATGATAGGATTCACCATTTATTAAAAGAAAAAGAATAATATGTATTTTGATATCTCATAATATGAAAAAAAAAATCTCCTATTATATAAGAAAAGAATTTCCTGTGAATAATATCATGTTATGTGACTCTTTCTTATTCTCTTGTGATATGTTACTTGATACCAATTTTTATTTTGGTAATATATTTTTATACCATTTTATTAGTATTATACCAAGCGAGAACTTAAATTAAAAGAAACAAGCATATTAAAAATGGCTTTAATTATATCCCAAAAAAAACTTTAATATTTTTATAATATTTTTATCTATATTTACACCCAAATTTTAATTTTTTTGAGTTAAAAGGTTAAAAAGTTACAATGACAAAGACTATTATAATGTTGGAATAAATTATAATTATAAAACATCTTGATTTTTACCAAAAAACAATATTTTCAGCTCAATGCAAATAATTTATCTGTATTTACTGTAAAAAAAATGAACCCATTAAAAACATCATATACGAACTTCAATAAAAAATAAAAGGAAAATGTTATATTTAAATTTTTTATTTACAAACTATAATATATTTTATGGATAAGACACTATTGAATGAAGTCTTACCGATGAGACATAATGTAGTTTGTATAAAAACAATTGTCAATATAATCATCCTCAAAATAAAATGCAAATAATAAATAAAGAGTTTAAAGTTTCTAAAATTACTTTAGATAATTTTATCTAAAATATACAAAAAAAATGTGTGAGGTCCATGCCAAGAGAAAATAGAAAAAAATAAATATGAATCTTATATATTTTTATATGTATATTTTGATAAATATTAAATAAAATTATCTAAAATAATTTTAAAAACTTTAAACCATGAACAAATAACAGAGGCATTGTTGT